TGTTAAAGGGGGATAAATTTTATATAACATAACAAAAAATTAGATTGATATATATTGATATAGTGGCGTTGTACTTCTTCAAACTTTGCTTCTCGGGTGCAACGCGCCATGGCGATTCGCACAATGCGTTGCAAATCCGGCAACCGCTAGCCTCCCCGCAGACGTCCTTTGGGGTTCGTTTGTCACGCATTCAAAGGACGTCTGCGGGGAGGCTAGGCAACCGCATGTAAACAAAATTTATTGAGGTTAGTTGCAAGGTTTTTTCTCCGTTTTTCTCTCTAAAACAAAACAACGTAAACAGTAAAAACTGAGGGGAAACTAATTTTGAAGTTTCGAAGAAACAGAAAGACGTATGAGATGTTTTTTTCAAAATTAAAAAGAAGGATGATGGTGATTGAAATTAGCATAATTTCACCTTGCACGAGCTGCACGCATTTATATAATACACGTCATCTACTGCTGTCTTTTAGTTTTGCCATGGATGAGATTTTCCTTCGTGTTTTAGACTTTTTTTTTAGACGTTTTTTTTTTCGTGTACTTAGTTGTTTTTGTTTTGGAATAACATCGACATTGGTGAGTACCAGAACGAAAATATAATTCAGTGGTAGAGTCATGGAAGTAATAAAAGAAACCCTTTGAAAGAGATGTTTGTCTACTCCAACTAAACCTCCCGCAAAAAAAAGCAACATTTGCCTCTCGGAGACAGCGTACCAGCACAAAGGAACGAGGAAAAAGTGCAAGAAAATAAATCAAGCTGCCATAATTCAGTGACAGCGGCAGTGTCTTTAATGTACAAACCACATCGCAAACCCTGACCGAAGTCGAAAACAAGCGAAAACAAGCGACATTTCTAAGCAGAGTCCCAGTCCACTGCATCACACCTTTTTGCTCGGACGCGCTCGTTTCACCGCCCAACCTTTATCCGCCCTGCTTTACTCCCTTTATTTGACCCTCTATAAGACGGACATCTCTCCAAGACGGACACTTAGTGCCGGTCCCAAAGGTGTCTGTCTTAGAGAGAGTTGACTGTAAAAAGAATAAATAGAAAACAATTTTTGCAAAAAAATTATAATAACAAAATAAATAAAATAACATAACATAACGACATAAAAATGAAAAATAAAGAAACAAACAAACAAACAAAGAAAAGAAACTGGTATCATATCTGAGTATGAGAAAACAATATTTTGTCGCAATTAACTTTTTGGGCAAGTGAGGGTCCATTCAAATGACAGTAATGAGTGAAGGCTTGCCTCTAAATTCAAAATATATTAAAATGGGTCGCGAGAAAAGGGGTTTTAAAGCTTTCAAAGAGCCACCTCTTGTAGTTGTTTGCCATGAGTTTAACCATTATGGTTTTTAACCATTTGAGATGGTCTGAAACAGGACAAGGAAGTCTGTGGATTCCCATGATCACAAGAATCACAACGGCCCCACCCATAAAAGTTCTAGTTCAGTTACTGGAAAATTATTTTATTTTGTGAAATTGTTTTTCTTTTTTTTTGTTATTATGTGGGATGAATAGTCAACTTTGTTATCCGACTTAAATCAACACAAGGATTTAAATTATTCAAGAAAGTCTAGTCGTAGAGAATAGCTATGCATTAATGTTTCTAATGGCTGAAATTCAGGCTAACTGATATCAGTTAGAGCCTACCACTGTGCTACCACTACCGCTGAAGCTATTCACTGCGAATGTAAATCTTGTCCACTACAGTCCAAAGCCACAAGCCGCTATTTAAGCTCTTTTTATAGTCGCAAAGCCGTAAATAGATGACCATCAATAATGATTAAACCACATGGCGGTAGCAACAAAAAACCTAATTCGGAAATAGTCACGTGACTGATGACATCATTACCTTACATGTGACATGGGAAGATATTTTATGACAAATGTTACCTTGCTGTGGTCTGACAGTCTTCTATGTATAAAATTGTCAGGGTTATAAAGCTTTTTAAAAAATTGCCTCAAAGCAGTCAAAGGATTCTGGAAGATTTTTTTATGATAATTATAATTTACTATAATACTACTACTACTAATAATATTTTTTATTTATTTTTATTATTATTATTATTATTGTTATTATATTTAATAATTTTTTTCAAAAGTCCCGGAATGTTCCGTGTTTCCGTGTTCCGTGATGGGCGTTGATAAACCTGGAAAACAGAACATTCTGGAACATTCTGGAACATGAAAAAATAAAAATAATTTTCAAGAAAAAAAAAAAAACAAATTTTTTTGAAAATTATTAATAACACAATAACAAAAAATAATCTAAAATAGTGAAGAAAAAAAGAAAAATAAAGAAATAAAGAAATAAGGAAAAAGAGGCTGGTATCATCTTCGANGAAATTCAGGCTAACTGATATCAGTTAGAGCCTACCACTGTGCTACCACTACCGCTGAAGCTATTCACTGCGAATGTAAATCTTGTCCACTACAGTCCAAAGCCACAAGCCGCTATTTAAGCTCTTTTTATAGTCGCAAAGCCGTAAATAGATGACCATCAATAATGATTAAACCACATGGCGGTAGCAACAAAAAACCTAATTCGGAAATAGTCACGTGACTGATGACATCATTACCTTACATGTGACATGGGAAGATATTTTATGACAAATGTTACCTTGCTGTGGTCTGACAGTCTTCTATGTATAAAATTGTCAGGGTTATAAAGCTTTTTAAAAAATTGCCTCAAAGCAGTCAAAGGATTCTGGAAGATTTTTTTATGATAATTATAATTTACTATAATACTACTACTACTAATAATATTTTTTATTTATTTTTATTATTATTATTATTATTGTTATTATATTTAATAATTTTTTTCAAAAGTCCCGGAATGTTCCGTGTTTCCGTGTTCCGTGATGGGCGTTGATAAACCTGGAAAACAGAACATTCTGGAACATTCTGGAACATGAAAAAATAAAAATAATTTTCAAGAAAAAAAAAAAACAAATTTTTTTGAAAATTATTAATAACACAATAACAAAAAATAATCTAAAATAGTGAAAAAAAAAAGAAAAATAAAGAAATAAAGAAATAAGGAAAAAGAGGCTGGTATCATCTTCGAGTATGAGAAAACATTATTTTGTTACAATTAATTTGTTGGGCAAGTGAGGGTCCATGCAAATGACAGTAATGAGTGAGGGCTTGTCTCTCAATTGAAAATATTTTAAAATGGGTTGCGAGGACGGGGTTTTTGAAGCTTTCCTCACAAAGCCACCTGTTGTAATTGTTTGCCATGTGGTTTAATCATTTGACTATTATCCATTTACGGCTTTGCGATCGTAAGAAGAGCTTACGGGCTAGTGGCTTAGGACTTTGGTGGATACTCGGATTTGCATTCGCCGTGAATAGTTGCAGTGGTTGTGGTAGCGCGGTAGGTTCTAACTGTCATCAGTTAGCCTGAAGCTTAGCTGTTACCCAAGTCGCAAAGGAAGTGAGCGACTCGAGGAGATGGCTGAAATTCAAACTAGGTCACAGTCCCCTATTTTCTTCCACCAAGTTGAAGAAGATAGCGATCACCGCTGTCAAAGTGATTTGGGTGCTCTCTGACAACAAAACTGGTTATTTGAGAGATAGCTTTTGCAATCTATTCATCTGCTAATTCAAATGCTTTGCTAACGTGTTTGTTGCTTTGAATTTTGTGAAGTAACTGGATTTTAGTGAACAAGATTTGATTTTGGAAACAGTAATGTGTGGCTATAAAATTTTCGGCGACTAGACTTTCTTGAATTAAATCCTTATGTTGATTTGTGTCAGATAACAAAGCTGACTGTTCATCCCACATAACTAAAAAAAAACAATCTTGAGTTCAGGAGAATAAAATAATGACCCAATAATGGAACTACAACTTTTATGGGAGGGGCTGTTGTGATTCCTGTGATCATGGAGATCCACACAGACTTCCTTGGCCTGTTTCAGACTTCAGACATGATGACACAAAGGAACCAAATGCTCCGAGACTGATATATTTAGCAAGGTGGAACACAAAAACAATCAAACAAAGACGCACGGCTCCTTTCCTTTCTATTCACCTTAGGCCTGAACAAGTAACAAATGGATATTGTCAATATTTGAAGTGAATTTAGCTGAAAAATAATGTTTACAAAAATAACAAGTCACATAAGCAAACCTTCAAGTGTCTTTGATAAATTAGGTTTGGGCTCGAAATATAGGGGAAACAGCGCTTCAGCACAAAGAGTGGAAAATGCAACGTCACAGGGGATGCCCAAATTAAATCACTGTGACAGCAGCAATCGCCATCCTCAATCTGGTAGGAAAAAAGAGGGGACTGTAAACTAGCTTGAATTTCAGCCATCTCCACGAGTTGCAAAGTCTTTCAACTCAAGGAGACGTCTGAAATATCAGGCTAACTGTAAACAGTATAGAAACTATTACGAATGTGAGTATTGTCCACTAAAATCCAAAGACAGGAGCCCCTATTTGTAAGCTCGCTCTTCTTGAGTTTGCAGAGCCTAGTCTGTAAGTAATTCACGTCAACCTCAAGAAAGCAAAGCACCTCAACAGGGTTCTCCTGAAATTTTGAAGTAGAAGGAGAACGAAGGGGAGTAGCCGTCAGAGAAAATTCTTTAAGGCGCGACAGTGCCTTCCACATGCCCTTGGCGCGTGTGGGGGGAGAGTATGGGAGGGAGGACATCCCTCCCATAGGGGGGTCCGGGTGGCCTTCCCCTGGAAAAATTTTGCAATTTGGAGCTCGTAAAGTGCATTTTGGAAGATGACTGCCATGATGATAGAACTTTTATTAATCCACCTTCTCACATATATTACATTTTTGAGAAAAACTTCAGAAATGCGATGCACCCAACATCAAAGTTCAATTTTTTCTGTAATACTTCAAAAATAGTTTAAAGATCTGATAGTGTGTTAAAATGTCTAGAAATCAACGTCAAACTCGAAGTCTGAATCTACATCAGACGACTCATCTAGCATGTCCATCTCAGTAAGTGCCTTGTGAACACTGTTTGCGAAGGCTGATGCCTGAGTTACTAGCTGGGGTTCTTCTTCCATCGATATCACATCCATATTTTCTGCAATAGAATGAAATAAACATCAGTTCTTAACTCAATAACTGGCTATTTTTTGTTTCTTTCTAAGCTATTATCTCTGTGTAATCTTAATTTTAATTGGGGCTATGTTTGATTTGAAGTTATTTATATTACCAGTAATACTTACCAGGTGTCTCAGTCTGAGTGGCAACAGTTGCCAATTCAGTGATCCTTGCATCTCCGTGCTTACTGCCACCAATCCTTGGGAGGTTCAATGGAGGTAGGTTTCTCTTGTGGGTGTTCCTCCATACTTGTGCTGCCTCTGCCAGGATTACTTGACACTCTTCGGACTTTGGCTCTGGTCCATTGATTGAAACATGAAGACATGTCGACAGCATGTCATTCTTCAGGCGGTTTCTTAGCCTTGTCTTAACCCTTTTGACAGCACTGGCTCCTCTTTCAACAACAGCATTTGACATTGGCTGTGTCAGACAGATCTTTGCAGCATCCACCAAAAAGCTGTAGCTTTCTCTGAGTAGTGCTTGCTCTTTCACGATTTTACGAAGAATCCATTCGGTGGGTGATAGTTTGGACTCCTTCCCACCTTGCAGCACATTCTGAGGTGGCTTCCAGGATAGCATGAGGTATTTGAAATTCTGCCACTGGGTTGTCATCTGATCTTCACTGAATTGGAATTGATCAGCTAAAATCTTCACACTGGCCACACCATGTTCCATGAACTCAGGATCAGTGGTAGCAGGCAGGGTGGTTGGATTGAAGATGCTGAAGGCCTCTAACACTGGAGCAGCTTGAGTGAAGCGTCTGTCCAGGTTCTCTTCTAGTGCTAAAGTGTAGCTTTGGCACAGGTTGACCAATACTTCTTCCTGTGATGAGGGAAGAGTAAGTTCTAAATCTTTGTACTGGCCCATCAAAGCTTCTTTCAGGACATGTAGTGGCTTGCAACTGGATCTTATTTCAGTGATTCTCTTCTTTGTCAATTCCAATGATGGCTTAATGGCAGAATAATGGATTTTGTTTTGTTGGAATACTTTACTTAAGGTGTTAAGGTGAGGAAGAACTTCGTTTAAGATGAGAAGGGTACCCACAAACTTGACGTTATTCATCCTTTTTAGCAACCCATCAGCTGTGGCATCATGCTCCTTGAATTTTCTGAGAGTTTGCATCAGTGCCACCAAATTTGTACAAACACTTGATACACTTTGCCCTGTTGACAGCCATCGTGTCCTGCAGGCCTTCTGGACTTTTACAGCCAATGACTTCTTCTGCGCAGCATCTGGCACTTGAATTTTCCTCAAACTTTCACAGACCTTGATGTATGCAGAGCATCTCTTGGGGTATTCGAGCCACTTCCAGAGCTGCTTGAGCGTAGTTTCCACTGTGGTAATGAATTTGACCCGATCATTCGCATCTCCACAGGCCAGAGCCAATCTATGGTTTATACAGTGCGTTCTTATGAGAAGAGGACACACTGCTTGTAGTCTGGCACCAACACCATTATGGGCTCCTGTCATCACACTGGCACCATCCGAACCGAATCCACAGGCATGTTCAACTTGCAGGCCACTTTCTTTCAGCTCCTCAATAATTAAACGGGTGATCGTTTCAGCATCAGCAGAATCGGATGTTGCAAGGCAATCTTTAACTTCCAAGAAGTCAAAGTGGGTCTCGCCTGTCTCGTCCACATAACCAATGTAAATGAGGAGTTGTTCGATCACAGCACAATCTGTCACTTCGTCAACGAGGATGCTGAACCACTTTGCTTCTTTGATTCGTGCTAGCGTCGTCTTCTTCAGTAATTGCCCCAGTAGCAATCTCTGCTCCCTTTGACATCGTTCACTTGTGTTCTTCCAGTGACTCATTTCTTGAAGACCAACCTGTTCTTCTAGCTTTAACAATGACTTCAACTTCACATTGGCAATCTCTTCATGTGCTAGCCAGTAAACACTCAGCATAGCATTGAATGTCACCTTGTCTGCTTTTTCTTGTACAGTTTTGTGCTGTTGTGCAAGGGGGCTCTTTCGTCTCTCCAGTTCAAGAAGATAGGTTCCAAGGTGCCCAGTTGACCTTGCATGGCCCAGGTCTTTTTTGCCTACAGGGTGCCCATCAGCCTTGGAGTTGAAGAGAGCTGATCTCTTATAGCGAACGGATGGCTCACAGTTAAACTTGCAATCTTTGTTGTATCTGTTCTTTGTGTTATGTATGCGACAAAGAAGGCAGTACATCCCCTCCCCTTCAATGAAAACAAGCCACCACATCCCTGTTTCCCTTGAAAACGTGAGGGTTTCATCGAATAGCCATTTGTGCTGGAATTTGTCACCTTTTCCTTGTTGCTTTTGTTGCTCTTGTTTGGAAAGCTCTGTACACGAGCCTGAACAGGTGTAATAACTGTGCAGGGTTTTTCCGCTAAAAGCCTCGGGAAAGTACTCTTCCAGTAGGTTCATGGCTTCCTTGTGTTCCAGTTTAGGAGGAGTAGAAGTCCGTGACGTAACATTCGCAGATGCTGTTTCGCCGACAGTGCCAGACGATTTAGAAGGCGAGGGTTCTTGGATGCTGGCACTTGTACAGGAATCCTCTTCATCAAGTGCTGGGAAATTGATAATGCAAACTAAAGGATTGCCTACATTGCCTGTTAACCCTAATTTTCATATAAAAATTAAAACAATCAATTTGCAGTGCATTTAAATGACTGAAAACTCGTGAAGACAATCTTAAAAAATCTTTTCTAGAAATGGGGTATTATAACGTTCCCGTAAAAAAAGAAAACTAGGTTATTTTATTACTTGTAGTCTTCAAAATGCTTAGATGAAGAATAAAAACTTTCCTGACCAAATCTACGGATTCTCCGTTGGAATTCTGTGCGTGGGTTCCTAAGTCCGCGGGAAAATTATCTCAGGAACTGAAAGAATGTAAGTTTTAAGGGGTAAATTAAATTTAAGTTTAAATTTTTTGAGTTGTATTTTGTCACTTCTTTACTTGTTTTCAGGGAAAGCCGAGAACGAAAAATGAAAAACGTCATTTTCAAAAACCGCCCTGCAAATTTGTAATGCATTTCGTTGACGAATTTCTAGCAACAAAGCCGGCCAAGAAATGTTCAGGGTTTTTTGTTCGGGTTGTTTCATTCAGTCGTTGCTTTGTTCGTTCGTTTTTTTCGATCGATGGATCGATCGTTCATCTGTTTCTTATAAATTTGCAGAATGTAGTCTTTATTTTTTTTAAAAAATGCGGGTGCATCAAGCCACGCTTTTCAGTCACGTTTTCTGCGACGTTTTCAAACTTAACACCTTGCAAAATTGAAAATGTTCTACAGTCCCACAAAGATCAGATCTTACCGAACGGGTTGATCAAAGAAATGAAAGCACATGAACAAAAGGAACATTTTTTGTATGTTTATTGAATCTAAAATATTCCGTGTCGGTCGGGCTGATCGCGTTGGCGACGTGTTGAAAGTACAAAATTTAATTATGCGTACTTTCGATTCGGATATAAATAGAAATAAAATTTACAAAGGAAAATCAACCTACCTTGTTCTGTGCCTTCTTTGGGCCTTTTATTCCACGCGTTGAAGAGTGTCTGTTGTTTTGCCAGTCGCTTCATTTCGGTTCTCATTTGTTGCAATTACGTTTCTGTTCTCATGAAAAAATTTTTCCGTGCTGCTGTCACGGGTCGGTGCACACGTGAAAAATGCCGCGATTACAAGCGGCAAGACGTTGTATCAAACTTCACCTATTTTCAATTTTCATGCCAAAACTTTGATTTTAATTACAGTTTTATTTCAACTTGGAAACGGTAATGCATTTGTTTTTATCACCGCGCTTGAAGTGAAAAGTTTACACAGTGAATTTTTCCATCTTCCAAAATAAATATTTTTTTATTTGGATCTGAGTAGCCGGCGCGCCAAGGACGACTAGACGGCGATTTTCGCCGGTCGCCGGGGCTTACGGAGATCTCTGCTCAAGTAAGCAAATGTCAGTTATATATATAAGGGGACTACATGTTGGCTTGACATGAAGTACTTACCGCCTTGGCTTGATATGAAATACTTACCAACATTTCAGGTTATCGCAGAGCCATAAATGCATAACCGTCAAATGATTAAACTCATGGCAAACAATTACAAGAGGTGGCTGTGTGAAGAAAGCTTCAAAACCCCCCTCCTCGTGACCAATTTTATTTTTGAATTTAGGAAGCGAATTCACTTACTACTGTCATTTGCATGAACCCTCACTCGCCCAACAAATTAATTGCAACTGAATATTGTTTCCTCATACTCAGAGGTGATTACCAGCTTTTTTTTCTTTATTTCTTTATTTTTCGTTTTTTTTTTGTTATTTTACGTTATTTTGTTATTATTAATTTTTACAAAAATTATTTTATTATTATTTTTTTATGAGAATTATTTTTATTTCATCATGTTCCGGGATGTTCCGGCATATTCCGGAATGTTCCGTTTTCCGGGGTTTACCGACGCCCATTACAAAATCGAAAGTGAAAGTCAGCTAGATTACCACGAGCTTCCGTCTGCAAAACAAATGCTCCCTTTAAAATAGCGGATCGTTCGATGGCAGGGCATTTCGAATTCTCAAAGAAACCTAACTTGCTGCAGTTTGTAATTAGTCGAGGAAAGGTTGAAAATTATGTGTTTATCAAAAACAAATGAGGAACGATAAAATAATTAGTCTTGCATTGTATACTCAGGAAGTAGACACACTTTACAAAAAGACAAATAAATCGCTTTCATTGATCCGCAACCTCGTCTTTCGGAGACATTCAAGTTGAAATGAACTTACCTTAATGATGAAGTAGAATAGCCTTCCTAGACTGTAAGCAAATTAGGGAAATTCGAAGTAATTTTCGCACACTAAACCGCGTCAGAGAAACCGTGGCATACACCGTATTCACAAATGGCGGACACGCGGGGAAAAACTGGTGCCTAGTCATGAAAGCGAGGCGTTGGAGGATAAACAAAAATTGCAAACGAAGACTTTCAGTCCATTTGCAGAGTGTTTAGCACGGATTCCACCTAAAATAACTCTGTACGGACTTCTTTTTAAATACAATTACGTGGGATGTCTTCAGCTTTTAATGTTTAGTAGTGATTTGCTGTTTGCAATCAAAAGGGACGCGNAAAATTTACAAAGGAAAATCAACCTACCTTGTTCTGTGCCTTCTTTGGGCCTTTTATTCCACGCGTTGAAGAGTGTCTGTTGTTTTGCCAGTCGCTTCATTTCGGTTCTCATTTGTTGCAATTACGTTTCTGTTCTCATGAAAAAATTTTTCCGTGCTGCTGTCACGGGTCGGTGCACACGTGAAAAATGCCGCGATTACAAGCGGCAAGACGTTGTATCAAACTTCACCTATTTTCAATTTTCATGCCAAAACTTTGATTTTAATTACAGTTTTATTTCAACTTGGAAACGGTAATGCATTTGTTTTTATCACCGCGCTTGAAGTGAAAAGTTTACACAGTGAATTTTTCCATCTTCCAAAATAAATATTTTTTTATTTGGATCTGAGTAGCCGGCGCGCCAAGGACGACTAGACGGCGATTTTCGCCGGTCGCCGGGGCTTACGGAGATCTCTGCTCAAGTAAGCAAATGTCAGTTATATATATAAGGGGACTACATGTTGGCTTGACATGAAGTACTTACCGCCTTGGCTTGATATGAAATACTTACCAACATTTCAGGTTATCGCAGAGCCATAAATGCATAACCGTCAAATGATTAAACTCATGGCAAACAATTACAAGAGGTGGCTGTGTGAAGAAAGCTTCAAAACCCCCCTCCTCGTGACCAATTTTATTTTTGAATTTAGGAAGCGAATTCACTTACTACTGTCATTTGCATGAACCCTCACTCGCCCAACAAATTAATTGCAACTGAATATTGTTTCCTCATACTCAGAGGTGATTACCAGCTTTTTTTTCTTTATTTCTTTATTTTTCGTTTTTTTTTTGTTATTTTACGTTATTTTGTTATTATTAATTTTTACAAAAATTATTTTATTATTATTTTTTTATGAGAATTATTTTTATTTCATCATGTTCCGGGATGTTCCGGCATATTCCGGAATGTTCCGTTTTCCGGGGTTTACCGACGCCCATTACAAAATCGAAAGTGAAAGTCAGCTAGATTACCACGAGCTTCCGTCTGCAAAACAAATGCTCCCTTTAAAATAGCGGATCGTTCGATGGCAGGGCATTTCGAATTCTCAAAGAAACCTAACTTGCTGCAGTTTGTAATTAGTCGAGGAAAGGTTGAAAATTATGTGTTTATCAAAAACAAATGAGGAACGATAAAATAATTAGTCTTGCATTGTATACTCAGGAAGTAGACACACTTTACAAAAAGACAAATAAATCGCTTTCATTGATCCGCAACCTCGTCTTTCGGAGACATTCAAGTTGAAATGAACTTACCTTAATGATGAAGTAGAATAGCCTTCCTAGACTGTAAGCAAATTAGGGAAATTCGAAGTAATTTTCGCACACTAAACCGCGTCAGAGAAACCGTGGCATACACCGTATTCACAAATGGCGGACACGCGGGGAAAAACTGGTGCCTAGTCATGAAAGCGAGGCGTTGGAGGATAAACAAAAATTGCAAACGAAGACTTTCAGTCCATTTGCAGAGTGTTTAGCACGGATTCCACCTAAAATAACTCTGTACGGACTTCTTTTTAAATACAATTACGTGGGATGTCTTCAGCTTTTAATGTTTAGTAGTGATTTGCTGTTTGCAATCAAAAGGGACGCGTATATCTTCAAGGAAACAGAATGATTTTGTAGGTCTGCGAAGCATCAGAAGCTCGACAAGTGGACGATGGCTGGAGAAAAGCGGCAAACATGATGGCCCAAACTTCACATTGAAACCGAATACGAAAGCCAGATCACTACAATTCTGTAAAACCAAAATAAAACAGATATTGGTGGCGAGAAAAAGAGAAATAAGCGACGGATATATGGCCTACTTGTCAACGGAATGGACCTCCGCCACCGTCATTACACAAAACAGGTCAAGTCGAGAGCGGGTGAAAGATTCATTCACGAGGCTCATTCATTCATTTCAGTGTCATTTTATACATAGCTATGTATATATGTATGTCTGTATTTACAACTTCCTTTGGATCATATTAATTACGTCGGTTTGGAGTGAATTGTTAGAGGTACGTTGGCACAGCTTAGCAAAAATCTCATGATTTCTTTGTCATTGCGAAATAATTAAAAATAATTTTATCAAACTTAGAAGCTATAGTGTGTGAATCTTATGGCTTGCTATTTGCCTGGTCTCCTCTAGGGCATTATCTCAGAGAGCTCTTGGTAAAAAAGTGGTATAAAGCTTACATTTTACTAAGTTAAACTTTTAAGGCAATGTTTGTGTCAGGGCTGAACACGGCAAGCTTCTGTTTCGAATAATTAAATTCGAGTCTGGATCCGTTTAACTTGAAGAAGACCATCATTTTATTTATTTATGTATTCTTCAACTTTAAAATATTATGGAACACAAAGTTAAAACTCTTAACAGCCAAAGATAAGAGATTCGAAATTACTCGCTGAAATGATGTGGCCGGCTTACCGAGTCTGCCGAGTAACAAGTTGAAATTTTGAGCGTACTCCACTCGATCGCTCCTGCATTTATACTAAAAAATTAGTTCTAATTGATGTCCTTCATCGATAAAGACCAGAGAATAACGTCCTGGCAAACAAAAAACAAACATAACTTCATCGAAACCTCAGTCGCCTCTTCTTTCCTGTCTTCCTTTTTTCCATCGGCTCGACTTGAATTGTTCAGCGGCAGACGTCTCTTGCGTTAACAAGTAGGCCATATACCTGTCGCTTATTTCTTTTTTTCTTGCCACCAAGATTTGTTTATATTTCTGTTTCACCGAATTGCAGTGAGCTGGCTTTCGAACTCGGTTTCAATGTGAAGTTTGGGCCATCATGTTTGCCGCTTTTCTCCAGCCATCGTCCACTTGTCGAGCTGCTGATGCTTCGCAGACCTACAAAATCATTCTGTTTCTTTGAAGATATACGCGTCCCTTTTGATTGCAAACAGCAAATCACTACTAAACATTAAAAGCAGAAGACATCCCACGTAATTGTATTTAAAACGAAGTCCGTACAAAGTTATTTTAGGTGCAACCGTGCTAAACTCAATGCTAAACACTCTGCAACTGGACTGAAAGTGTTCGTTTGCAATTTTTAGGGACTTAAGCATCGACAACGAAATACATGACGACGTTTGTAACCCAAGGAGGATTGGGTCGAGGCTTTCGTTCTCGGCGGGAAAAACGAAAGTTAAGCAGTGTGTTCTTTTTAGGAGACGACGATTTTTGGTTATCTGACAAGTAGCTCTAGCTATGGCTTTCAAAAACGTCCGAAATCTACTTCTGATTAATCACAACGATGGCTTTATCAATGATGATGAATTTGTTGTTCTGTACGACCTCTATGCATCGAAAAACCTCGACTTTCCGTACGATTCGTACGCACCTTTTGACCTGGAAGAGCTTGATGAGTCTGAGAGTTTTGCAGAGTTTCGCTTTGGAAAACGAGATATACGAATTCTGAAGGAAGTTTTGCTAATCCCTGACACGATTACCTGCAGTCAGCGCTCTGTTTGTGATGGACTAGAAGGTCTCTGCATGCTGCTTAAGCGGCTTTCTTACCCATGCAGATATGGAGACATGGTCCATAGATTCGCTAAACCTGTTCCAGTTCTTAGCATGATCACCAATCAAATGATTGACTTTGTGTATAATGTTCACGGGAATAGAGTACTAAACTGGAATCATGAGGTCCTTAGTCCTGTCAACCTGCAGACTTATGTTGATGCTGTGACAGCCAGGGGAGCCCCACTGCCCAATTGTTTTGGGTTTATTGACGGTACCGTTAGGCCTATATCAAGACCTGGAGAACATCAGCGACTTCTTTACAATGGGCATAAAAGGGTTCATGCCCTGAAATTTCAAAGCATTGCTTTGCCAAATGGCTTGATCGGAAATCTATATGGCCCAGTTGGTAAGTTACAAAACAGTACAGGCCACCAGCTTTAAAGCAGGGATGTGACCAAATGTTTATTTTTGTAGACCTTGCACTTATTTTAAAAAAGGAAAAAAAATGAAAAAAAAAATGAAACATTTTTCAAGGCTATACGACAGGCTAAATTTATTGATTTTCTTATTCAATAATGATTACCAAGGTGAGATCACCTCAACAGTTTATTGGGAGCATAGCCAGAGGGAAGAGGGGACTGTCCCCCTCCCCCCCTTAAAATAAATATAAACTCAAGATGAAATTAGGAAAAAGTTTCTGAAGTACTCATATAATCAAAAGCTTATGCAACCCAATTGTCCGCAACCTTTACTCTTACACTGATACCTACCATCACCTACCTATTTTTAGAAGGAAGAAAACATGATGCAGGAATGCTTGCTGATTCACAGCTACTACACGACCTTCATCAGTTTGCCTACAATCCAGCTGGCCAGGCAGTCTGTGTTTATGGTGACCCTGCCTACCCCCTTAGAGTGCAGATGCAAGGACCCTTTAGATATGGTGTATTGACGCCACAAATGCAGCAGTACAATACAGAGATGAGTGCTGTTAGAAGTTCTGTTGAATGGCTGTTCGGAGATGTAATCAACTCGTTTAAGTTTAATGACTTTAAAAAAGATCTGAAGCTTTTCCTCAGCAGTGTTGGAAAGATCTATGTTGTTTCTGTCATACTGCGTAATGCAATGACATGCTTGTATGGTAACATGACCTCAGAATTTTTTGACCTTAGGCCACCTACTCTTGACACATACTTTGGCTAGGAAACCACACTATTGCCCAGTTTACAATGCCTTTGATAAAATATGTATCAAAACCTTATAACTGCAGTTAACCATGGTAGATATTTGTATGCTGATAAGTTAAAGACTATTTCTCACACCATTGAACTTTTTAAAGAGAAAATGAATAATAATAAAATTAAACACAATTTTATTTCTAAAAGTTTTCTATTTTTCAAGAAATGTTATTGTAACTATTGATTTATTTCCCAACCTTATTTCCATTTTTCAGAAAACTGTGGTTAATTAACTTAAATTAATTTTATAAATAGAAATAAAAGAGATTTATCACAAAGAATTAAGCACAACATTGCAGAGTCAGGCTATTTTTTTGGAATTCCTTTATCAAACATTTTTACAAATATAGGAGCCCAAGGGCCTGTTTGTTGGAGGTTGGGCTGGCACTAACCCAGGATGTTTACCGTGGTGACTTAATGATTTTTTACAGAGTCAACCCTGGGTGAAAGCTACCCCAATCTAACATGACTGAATGAAGGTACCCATGCTTCTTTTAGAGATTTTGCCTTGATGATGCTCGAAATTGGCTCAATTTCTATAGTGGACTCACTTAATGTAAGAAATACTATGAGCTATTTACATAAAAGCACAGCTAACCAAACAATAGAAAAGAATAGACCTAGCTATAAATACTATTTTTAAGATTTATTTTGTGCATTTAGTGACTGTACATTAGGGGAAAGTTTGGGCATTTAGGGCCCTTTCTACAGAAAAACATCTGTCTATTAGCAAAAACAATGTTTTATTTCTTCTTGAAACTTTTTACAAAACTCTCTATAGAAAAGAAATATAATTACATTCATCAACAATGCTCTTGAAGATAACTAAAGTCATAACAAAAGTCAACTCAACAAGTTCAGGGCTCTTCCACATTCACAAGGTTCGAGCTTAATGCTTTTTTATATTTTCCATCAATGCCATAAATACCTTGTTTTGCTGGTCAAGCATAATTTGAAGGTTTTGCTGTTGAAGCTGCTGCTATTGCTGCATCGTGTTGATCAGCGCTGAGAACACGGTCTGTTGCTGCTGCGATGCCTCCTCTTGTCTAGTTTCTGCTAGATCAAGCTCTCTTTTTTTCTTATGGCTAACTCTTCCTTTTTCAGTTCTCTCTCTTTCTCTGACTTCTCGGCCAAAAATCCGATTGCATCAGAGGTGCTCCTCCTCAATTTAGCTTTTTTTGGTTTCTCGCCACTATCATCGCTCTTTCTAATTGCAGTTGTCTGAAGAGCCGCCTGTCTGATTTCCTCTGCTTTAGCTTTTTCTTTCTCATCTTTTGCCTTCCTGTCGTTTCTCAGGGCGTCACTCTTTTCTTCTGCGCTTTTCTCTCGCTCTCGAATTTCCTCCAGCAAGGCATCGAGCTCTGTGAGCTCGGGGACATCGATCCCAGATGCTTTCTCTTCTTCTCTTTGCTTTAGTTTGTGCCGGGAGATCAGGAGTGCATATCGATCTCTCTCTGCCCTTGCTGTAACCCAGAATTCTGGAGTCTTCAGAGAATTCAAACAGGCTGCGATGCTTTCCCATACTTTCCCTCTCTCGGTGCTTTTCGGTTTAAAATTGTAAGGTTCGCTCGTTACAGCTTCGCGAAGCATCAAGACATCATGGTCTTCCGTCCAAACAAAATACCTGGACTTACTCGCTGTCAAAAGAACACGAAAAGATATATTTTTAAAGCAAAACTGAAGATTTATATCTTGAAGTGCAACTTAAAATTAGCACAATGACATGCAGGTCTAAAATAAGAAGAACATGACTTCAAATATCCCAAAATTTCCTTAAAGAGATCAGTACAGAAAAACTTACATTTCTTTTGAACGAGTTCTTGCTCGGCTGTAGAAATGTGGCCGGCCATGGTTTCGGATGCTTCTGAAAGAAAGTTATTTTAGTCTGTTAAAAATAGCTAAACTGTTAAACATTTGACTTCCGCTGGTCCGCAAATAATACATCAAACAATCATTATAACAAAAGGTGGAAACAGATGATTATCAGCATGAAAAAGTTTAGTTGTTTACTTACGTTTTCACCAGAGCGAAAATTTGCTCAGATTCAGTCGTCGACGAAGGCTGGACGACGTTTTGACAACCTAACGCATGCCCAGAAGGTTCGCGCGGGAAAATTTCACTTCCGGTCGGCGTCGTCGTCCCATTTCGTCGTCGATGCTTAAGGTCCCTTTTGTTTATCCTCCAACGCCTCGCTTTCATGACTAGGCACCAGTTTTTTCCCGCGTGTCCGCCATTTGTGAATACGGTGTATGCGCTATAAATAACACCTTACGTAGTGGAAGACTGGGCGGAGTGGTGTAGCGGGAGGGGGTGGGGGGAGGGGGTCTCAACCATAACGTTGGTCTGTAGGATCGAATAATGGGTAACCTGCGATCAGGCGTTTTTTTTAAATGATCTCAGGCTAAATAATGGGTTGCGACTTCAGTGGAACCCCGCCTTACTGTCACCTCGTTATTACCGGCCCCTTTTATTGGCCGTCTGGCAAAACGGCCATACATTTTCCCCGTAAAAAGACCCTCTTTAATACGGTCATACGTTAATACAGTCAATTTTTTTTGGCCCATCGGTGACAGTATAAACATGGTTCCACTGTATATAACTATTGAGGTTTTGTGTGATAAAGGTGGGTTACAACGCATTTTGAAGCTGTCTTTTGTATTGTCTGGTCTACCCTTTCTTTACCTTTCTTTCAGAAATTAGACAGCGCCATTGCAAAGAATCGCAGCTCTCAATGCAGGACGCATGCTTTTGTGGCCCAGCCTACTCCCTCATAAGCCATGTAAGTACGTGCCTTACAGCATGGTTTTTGCGTCGTTTCGGTCTGAAAACGGGTACAGTAGACGTACTTTGCCCATTTTGGTTTAGAATAGAGTATGGTTTTCGAGGTCGGCATGAACGTATGCTCCGTTTCAATTCCAAAAGAGTTATATGTGAATTTGAAATGGGTGTTTTTTGGCGTTCTAATCTAACAAGAAATGATGACGTAATTTTTGGCTATGTGGGTCTGAACACGGGTACAGATTTTAGAGGCCGCGAGGGGGACGTTTTTCGTAAGGCACGGAAACTTTTCGGGCCCAAAGAAAAATTTAAAATCTAAAAACTGTTGAATAGTAGCACGGTTCCTAGTCCATAAACCAGTTGAAAATTTTGCTTCGTTGACTGATAGTTTCATTTTATTATTTTCAAAATTGTTAAAACTTTGGCCTTGAATGTAAACGCGGCAAACACAAAGCAGCTTTCCGGGCTCGAAGAGTTGCCGAGACTTTCGAAAAACAGGCCCCCGCTGTGAAAACAGGTGTGGAAAATGACCTTTTTCGGTCTGAAATAGGGTGAGGATTTGGGGAACCAGGCGGCACACCCCCACGAAGAATTCTAGGGGGTACACCTCCGCCCTGGGCAGGGGGGGGAAGCTACTTCCCATACATTCTCTTAAATGAAATCCAAACGATGTTCTCACAACTTGCAAAGCGATCAGCAAGATTCTTGCCAGCGGATTTGTGTACTGATCATGCGCATTACGTCAAAAACCATAAATCAACGGTCTTGAGAAGGAACAAAAGCATGGCGGTCGAAGGCGGGAATGTTTCTCACTATTATATTTTGGTAATTCGCAATTTTATTGATTTTATGCCGCTTTTCAGACATAGTGTGTGGTTTTCTTTTTCTGTTAAATAATTTCCCTCCGCAGAGTTTGGAATATGCAACATAGCTCCGTATAGCTGATAAGAATCGCCGAAGAGTTGAGCTATCGAGCAGTGTTTTGCTGCAAACGTTAGGAAAGTTAAAGTCGCTTCAAGGAACAGAGCTTTCAGTAGTAGTTGTGATTTGTTTATTAGGATCGTTTTGAATTTTAACTTTGGATTCAAGGTGTTGACTGATCGTAATAAACGAAGTGAAATGTTATGAAGTGTGGATGTTTATTCAGTTATGATATGTAGAGATAAAGCTGTCTGAATATACTTGCTTCCGATAAATTTGACACTTATTTTTATCAGCATCAAGTTATCCTTGCCCTGCAAAAACGATGTAACCTATAGATCGATCGAGCGCGTTGCTGTTGGTTAAGATCTATTAAACACGGCTGCGTTTTAGTTTCCCCCGCAATTTCAGTACCGAAAGACAAATACGATATGCAAGCAAAACAAAGATGCATGATATTATTTTTTTCAATTTTTTAAGCATTTCTGATTTCCTCTGCCTGTTCCCTTCTTGCTCCTAAAAAGTCTAAAAATATTTACTGTGGGAAAAAGTGCAACTATCCGCTGACCACCACGCAGGGTGACCGCTTTGCAAGTTGTGAGAACATCGTTTCTCGGTCCCAGACCTCGTCTCTTGCCCCCCCCTGGCATAGATTCTTGAAAAGAATTACTGTCGTATTTTTATGAGAGTTTCTCTTTGAAGCCACCGTAGAGAATGATTCTCACTTATCAGGGAAAGTGAAAGTCGTTCTGAATGCAAGACGGAGAGGAAACAAGAAACCACCCTAAGTACCCCACACCGA